GTGAGTGGATTGCCTGAGCCCGCGGGTTTGAGACCTGCCTAGGCAACTTGGCGAGACCTCATCTCTACAATAAATCAAAAAATCAGCCAGATATGGTAGCGCGTGCCTGTAATTCTGGCTACTCGGAAGGCTGAGGCGGAAGGATAGCCGGAACCCGGCAGACCAAGGCTGCGGTGGCCGGGAGCAGTCACTGCACTCCAGTCTGGGCGACAGAGTGAGACTCCAACTCAAAAAAAAAAAAAGGGGAAAAAAAAAAGCCATCAAAATTGATGAGTTCAAAAACTGTTTTGAGCAGTGAAAAAGCGTTTTGTTAAGTGTATGGCATCAAATGGGGAGTATTTTGAAAGTGGCTAAAGTTTCAATATGTAAGAATACACAGTTCTTTTCAGCTACCTGGAAGGCTGAGCAGAAGGACTGCCAGAGCCCAGCGGATTGAAACTGGGATGGCCCTGAGTGTGCCACTGCACTCCTGCCTAGGCGACAGAGTGAGACTCCAACTCAAAAAAAAAATACACAATTTTTATACATAAATTCCGGGGTTCTTTGGGTCCCATGTCTTTTTTAAAATATGTGAATTATAGAATTCTAGGGCCAAAAGGAATTGTATAGGATATTTAGGATAGAGCCCTTAAGTCAGAACACAAGGAGAACAAGCCTTTCTTAAAGATACTCAGGCTGGGCTCAGTGGCTCAGCCTGTAATCCCGTGCCTTTGGGAGGCTGAGGTGAGTGGATTGCCTGAGCCCGCAGGTTCGAAACTTGCCTGGGCAGGCGAGACCTCATCTCTACAATAAAATCAAAAAATGAGCCGGGCGTGGTAGCGCGCACCTATAATTCCGGCTACTCGGAAGTCTGAGGCGGAAGGATCGCCGGAGCCCAGCAGGTCGAGGCTGCGGTGGCCAGGAGCGGCCACTGCACTCCAGTCTGGGCGACAGAGTGAGACTCCAACTCAAAAAAACAACAACAACAAAAAAAAACAAACAAAAAAAAAGATACTCAGAAAAGAAGCGTTCCCAGTCTTCCTCCCTCCTTTCAATTGTTTTAACCAGCTATGATAACAATCTATAAGACCAACACAATAATAAGCTATACTAATACATCATAAGCCTTAATAAGAGAGAGCTCACTCTTGCCCTAAGCCCTCTCTCTCTCGCCCTCCTCTTTCACACTTGAAAGCGGCAGGCAGAAGCAAGGCTGTTTCTATTCCTTATTTTGGACCAAGAAACCATGGAGAAAGGTTGTACAGAATGACAAGGCTCTGGGTCTTACCATAAAGATTTCATCATACATCAGCACCACTTTTTCCTTCAGTGGTTTTTTGGAGGCTGAAGATTTCCGGAGCAAACCCCCTCGTTTCTCTACCTGTGCCATGGTTAGAGAATCTATGGAAAAAAAAGTCACATTTTAGGGCAGTGAAAATACTCTGTATGATACTATAATGGTAGATGTATGTCATTACACATTTGTCCAAACTCACAGAACATATAAGACCATGAGTGAATCCTAATGTAAACTGTGGACTTTGGGTGATAATAATATATCAATGTAAGTTCACCAATTATACCAGAGTGGAAACTGATGAAAGATGCTGACAGGGAGGCTGTGGATGTGTGGAGCAAGGTGAAATACGAGATATCTCTGCAACTTCCTCTCAATTTTGCTGTGAACCTAAAACTGTTCTAAAAAAACGAAGTCAGCCGGGCTCGGTGGCTCAGCCTGTAATCCCATGCCTTGGGAGGTTGAGGTGAGTAGATTGCCTGAGCCCGCGGGTTCGTGACCCGTCTGGGCAACTTGGCGAGACCTCATCTCTACAATAAATCAAAAATCAGCCAGGCGTGGTAGCACACGCCTGTAATTCCGGCTACTCGGAAGGCTGAGGCGGAAGGATCGCCGGAGCCCGGCAGGCCAAGGCTGCGTGGCCGGGAGCGGCCACTGCACTCCAGTCTGGGCGACAGAGTGAGACTCCAACTCAAAAAATAAAAATACAAAATACAAAAATAAAAATAGTCTTTTAAAAGAAAAAAGAAAAGAAAGGCACAGTCAATGCCAGAATGCTCTCCAAGATGCCACAGAGTCTACTGAAACACCACTTGATGAGAAATTTTTTAGGAGGAAGAACTGATAAAGAACCATGCTATAGAGCATGTGCATCTATCCAACACTCCCTCCCAGACCAGATAATTTCAAGGTTTACACCATTACATGGCCTACAGCATAACACATTTTATATCCCTAAAACATGCCAGCAGACAAGGCTTAAAGCAGATCCAAACCAAACAGGAAAGTGTAACTAGTTCCACCTATAATACAATAGGTCTGGCCATATATTTGAGGATGACGGAAAGAAGGCTGCAAAGCACACACTGTCCACAGACTGATGGGGAAATTAAGCTTCAAATATTGATCCAGCTTCGAGCCATTAAGGCAGGAAGTGTGTTGCAGACTGATGTGCTCCATTGATTTCCCCAAAGTAGGTCCTCATCACTGTACAGTACTTGGCCTTCACTGCCTCACAAATCACTTGCACTTGACTGCCATCAGAAATTCCTCTGGAAAGAGATTCATGGCAGAAAATAGCAGTTAGGCCAAAATAAAATCTGATTTCAAAACATCTGACTATAATAATATACTACTACTAAATTTAATTGTATACATTAATAACACTATTACAGTTCAGATGTCAATGTATTTTTCTTTATTTTATCTTATTTATTTTATTTTATTTTTTATTTTTTTGAGTTGGAGTCTCACTCTGTCACCCAGCCTGGAGCACGGTGGCCGCTCCCGGCCCCCGCAGCCTCGACCTGCTGGGTTCCAGCGATCCTTCTGCCTCAGTCTTCCAAGTAGCTGGAACTACAGGCGCGTACTACCACACCTGACTAATTTTTTGATTTATTGTAGAGATGAGGTCTCGCCAAATTGCCCAGGCGGGTCTTGAACCCGTGGGCTCAGGCAATTCACTCACCTCAGCCTCCCAAAGCACGGGATTATAGGCTGAGCCACCGAGCCCGGCTTATTTGTTTATTTATTTATTTTAATAGAGACAGCGTCTATGTTGCCCAGGCTAGTCTTGAGCTCCTGGGCTCAAGCAATCCTCCCTCCCTGGTCTCCCAAAGTGCTAGGATTATAGGAGTGAGCCACCATGCCCAGCCCAATGTATTTTTCAATTCTACATAAAAGTAGTTCCCTGAATCATACCCAAATTGTCCCATCTTACTTTAAGGAATTCTCTTTTTTTACTTTTAAATGAGGTCTCTACTGTAGATTTACACATTATTCCCTCATCTACCTGGTTCTTTCTATCATTAACAAAGTTTCTCTCTTAAATCCTAGACTCCAAATGTGAAACTCAATCTCAACCAACAACTAGTATGGGAGCTAGGGAGGAGCCTGGTTTTACTTCCAGACAATCCAAAGCGCAGAACTAATTTAGTTCAATGACTTTTGGAAAAGATGCCCTATCCTCCAAATCAAAATCAAAATTTGGCTTAAGGAAGAGATGCATCCGATAATACAAAAGATTACCTCTGAGACATTCTCTAATGCATACAGCCAAAAAAGGAAATTGATCTTTGAATATATCCCAAAGCACAGAAAATTTCCCCAACTAGAACAGGAACAGGAGAGGAGGGAAAAACAAGCATCTTTAGCACAGGGACTACACCTTATACTTTTTATATAAGAACTTGGCTCTTGGTAAATGCTCAGTGTATGCTGTTCACTGACTGATTCTGAAAAGGAGAGGACCCTGAAAAGTTCTCAATCTGACCTAAAATTTTAGTAAGACCTATCCCTGTCAAGGCTTAACTCATCCCTCAAATTCTGTTCAGAGAGAACTGAAGGGAAAAGTAACAACAACAATAAAAAGAGAAGCCTCTTTCGGACAATTTAAATTACACTGATCATGGCCTTGCCTTGAAGCATAAAATATAGCCTCTGCTCAAAACATTCTTGTGTCTTTTAAATAGGCTGTCAAGAAGATGTCGTTATCCGGGGAGAACAAATTGGAAATCAAAGGACCCTCTTAAAATAAATCAAAAGCAATGCATTCTCAGCTCAGTGGATATAGATCTTGCCTTGCTCAGCTTCATCCATTCGATCAGCAGAAGCAGCAGGAACCCAAGTCCCTGGGTGTGAAAAGCACATGCTTATAAACGTTCCCCTGAGGGTTTACAGTTGGGTTACAGCTAATCAATGCCCACCCCAAATCTAATAAGTTCACTTTCTCCATTTCAGATTTGTGTGTGTGTGTGTGTGTGTATCCGAGTCTCACTCTGTCACCCAGGCCGTCGTGCAGTGGCATGATCCTGGCCACCACAGCCTCGACCTCCTGGGCTCAGGCAATTCTTCTGCCTCAGTCTTCCGAGTAGCTGGGACTACAGGCATGTGCCATCATGCCAAGATATTTTTTTTTATTCATTGTAGAATGAGGTTTTACCGTGTTGCCCAGGCTGGTCTCAAATCCCTAGGCTTAGGCAATTCTCTCACCTTCACCTCCCAAAGTGCTGGGATTACAGGCATGAGCCATGAATCAGTATTTTCTAATAAGTAAAAGGGAACAGGAGAGGAGGGAAAAACAATTCCAACCCAAATACCAGATTTCCTAAAACTTAAAGTCTATCCCTCCCTCTGGAGGAGAGGGAAATTCAGGCACAGGCCTCAACGCACTATTGTCTGTCATAATCACTGGCAATTGGAATTTACCACTGAACCTGCCTGAAATATGACTGGAAACTGACCAAATGCAGTCTGCTCCTCCAGCCAGCACTCCTACCAAGAGAGCACAGCAAGCAAGAGTTTCTAAGGTGGTGGATAAGGAGACAAGCTTTTCCCCGAGTCTCGGAAATTAAGCCTGTGCTCCTAAAATATCTGACTGGTAGTATAGAAAGTTGCAGCACACCAGTAATGTGAGTGTCATCTGGTTACATTCTCCCAGTGCTTTTTCCTCTTTCAGTCACTGCCACTCCCCTTGTAGAGGGAATTAGCACTAGCTGAGAAGCTGTAGGACATAATGGAACAATCAGCCAGCAGAACTAAGCCTGGCACACAGGTCTCCCAACCCAGCAGGTGACACTAAGTCATCGTGCTCCTCAGTGTCCTTACAAGTTGAACAGGAGGACCAGACTAGACTGTTATCGAATGATTCTCTCAGCATCACTGAAATACCACAACGAGAGAAGGAGTACCTCAGTACTGTGTAAAGCACCACTTTAGGCACTCAGGGCCAGGGAGGAGACTCCAGACCCGATCCAGAGGCAAACATATCATAACCCGAGGGACAAGGCAGACTGTGAGAATACACAGAGAAGTACAAAAAAGATGCTATGGGACCAGAAGAGACAGAAAGGCACATTCTTCATGCTACGATGCCTGCTGATCCGGGCTTTTAAACCCTCTGACGAAGAAGTAAACACAGCAAAGGCACAGCAGTCCCACCAGAATGTCATCTTAGACTTTAACGCAGTTTCTCAGAAACAAGACACAAACAGCCAGGCTCAGTGGCTCAGCCTGTAATCCCAGTGCTTTGGGAGACCGAGGTAAGTGGATTGCCTGAGCCCGTGGGTTTGAAACACGCCTAGGCAACTTGGCGAGACCTCATCTCTGCAATAAATCAAAAGTTATGCCAGGCTCGGTGGCTCAGCCTGTAATCCTGCGCTTTGGGAGTCGGAGGTGAGTGGATTGCCTGAGCCTGAGGGTTCGAGACCCGCCTGGGCAACTTGGCGAGACCTCATCTCTACAATAAATCAAAAATGAGCCGGGCGTGGTAGCGCGCGCCTGTAGTTCCAGCTACTTGGAAGGCTGAGGCGGAAGGATCGCCGGAGACCAGCAGGCCAAGGCTGTGGTGGCTGGGAGCAGCCACTGCACTCCAGTCTGGGTGACAGAGTGAGACTCCAACTCAAAAAAAAAAAAAAATTAGTCAGGCGTGGTAGCACGCACCTGTAGTTCCAGCTACTTGGAAGGTTGAGGTGGAAGGATCGCCAGAGCTCAGCAGATGGAGGCTGCAGTGGCCAGGAGCAGCCACTGCACTCCAGTCTAAGTGACAGAGTGAGACGCCAACTCAAAAAGAAAAAAGAAAAGAAAAGAAATAAGACACAAGCAAACTATAAAAAAGAATCAAGCAACTTTTCAATACGAATTTCACCTACTATCATACTTAGGAATGACTTCAAATCCCCTCCACGGAATGGTAAATCAATGAAGTCTTTTATTCCTAGACCTTAGAAACTGCTGGCCCGGTGACCTTCAGGGCAACTTCTCTCTGGAAGACCCGAGTCACACAATTTTTTAAAATCTGCATCTTAGCCGGGCTCGGTGGCTCAGCCAGTAATCCCGCGCCTTGGGAGGCTGAGGTGAGTGGATTGCCTGAGCCTGTGGGTTCGAG